TAGTCTTACACTGCTAAATTAGGGACAGCTAGCGCAGATAGCCCTCGTGTAGCTTTGTTCAAAAACAAACAAAATGTGTCCACAATTCAATTGAAGCTCATCAGTAGCTAAAATCCTATACTTTAATTGAGTTTTCTTTGTCACTGAATGTTGTCATTGCACGATCAAGGTAATTTTAGAAACATGTTGTGTACATTATCAAACTTCATATTTTTGCAATGTAACATGAAAATATTAGTTTCTGTACATAATAATAATTCAGTAGATCATACATTTCGTTTCCTGGACCTAAGAATACTGGAGACTGTATTTTATTAGTTATCAGTGTTATCGTGCTGAGTAGTAGTTTTCGATATCATTGTTTCGTTGATTTGCTGAGTAATTTTTCGTCTAAGGTTTGAACAATCAAACAGATTACGGTTTATACTTCGTTGTACTTTTATAGTTATATAAGTATGCCCAGTACTAGCACACTGTTATTATTATTATTTTATTAAGTTCTTATAGATCAGTTGAGAAAGGTTAATTTTGCTCTGCTTCCTGTAATGTGGAGTAAACTAACGTAATGGTCTAACTCAAGAACATGTGCTGTTCAAAATACCTGAATGGGTAAATCTATTCCATCTCATTTCGTCTGAAGTTCTTTATAAACACAGCTGACCGACATTAATCGTAGTTTTATCAGGTAAAGTTGTTTAGGGAAAGTTTTGCAGGTAAGCGATGTTGTTTAGTAGAACACACTGTGGTTCTTAATAAAAGATTCGAGCTGTGTCTTCCCATAATATATTGTGTTCTATATCTTGCCTCAATTTGTAACATAATTAATACCTGAAGGTAATTTAACTGACTACTCATCACCATAATTATCAGTACAGTTTAACTACTCAGTTTACAATAATTTCGAGTAACTAGCTCAGTCTTCCTAACTCAGTTTGTAATATAATTAATACCTGAACGTAATTTAACTGACTATTCATCACGATATTATCAACACCATTTAACAACTCAGTTTGCAATAATTTCGAGTAATTAGCTCACTCTTCCTAACTGGTTAAATCGGGTAGACATCGGATGCCTTTGATGGTAAAAATAAGTATTTTTTTATAGTTCATTGTTTTGCTGTTACTTTTGATTTTACGGAGCAAACACACAAGAACACATTCACTAACAGAAAAGACAACGTTTCAAAACAACAGTGTAATTCATGATAATTTAGCTTACTTGCGCAGCTTCTTTTTTGTAATTTGTTATGATGTCATGAATTACTATAAAAATTACCTTTGTTCACTGACTTTTAACCAAGAAGAAAATTGAAATGTTGTAATATGCGATGAAATATGACAACAAAAATTCAACACAAACTCCTCTTTAATTTCGCGTATCCAGTGGATCTTTCATCCACATATTGTGCACCTGTAGTAGCTCTGTATTATAAAACTTTTACCACGCTGTAGTAAATCCATACTCTTATTTTGTTGCATGTTCAAAAAGTTACAATATAACCAATAGTATTTAACTGCAATTCAAAGTGTGCTAACCTTTTATAATCATGTTATATTACAAAGTTGAGTTGTTAAGCAAATGGCACTCTATTAGGTAAATACCTTTCATTCTCAAGTCCAATTACTTTATTTCTGGACTTCATCTAGCACCATATAACAAAACTTCATCCAGTAGGTTTCCATACACTAGAATTATTTTCGCAATTTCAACCAATAAGCTTCAATATATTGTCATGCATGTGACATAACCTAAGTCAGTACTACAGTCTTTCAGTTAGTATCATAAAATATAACTTCATTCATTAGGTTCCCATGTACTATCCTATAACATAAGCTCCTTGAGGAGACGTGTTATATAGAAAATTTTGATTTAAAAAAATACGAAAAAAAACTATGAAATATCATAGATATATAAATCATGCTACACCCAGTGGCTGCTCTAGTCATGAAAAAAAATCATTAAATGTATTCCGTAGCAGCTACATTTCAGATACAAATGTCTCGAAAAATATTTAAACCATCTTCTGTTTCGCCTCACATGCTCAAGCGCACGTATATATACATTGTTGAATCCTTGTGTAGTCACGTATTAAACTTACTCTTAACTGCTTAGGTTTCACCAAACAGCTTTTAGTCACAATTTAGTGGCTAAATAATAACAATCAATAAAACAAGCAAAAACTGCTACTTAATCCTACAAAAACCGACAAAGTTTTAAGTATGGTATATATTTATATATACTGTCTCAGCTTTCTTGTTATAGTCGAGACATTGTTTCACCATTTCAGCATACATACAGATCATCGATTTTTGAAGAAGTTGTTTTTGTTTTGTTTTTGAAGTTAAGCACAAAGCTACACAATGGGCTATCTGTGCTCTGCCCACCACGGGTATCGAAACCCGGATCCTAGCGTTGTAAGTCCGTAGACATACCGCTGTGCTACTGGGGGGCTTTTGAAGAAGTAGTTGATGGTAAGACTTGCGGATCATTGTTCTTTGCAGAAGTAGTTAATAATAAGATTTATGGAAAATTGACCTTTGTAGAAGTAGTTAATAGTAAGACTTGCATATCATCGGTCTTTGCTGAAGTAATTAATAGTAAGACTTATGGATCATCGATTTAAGCAATCATGTTCCTCTTCATTGAACTTCTTGTTCCTAAGTCTTACTATTAACTACTTCTACAAAGGTCAATTTTCCATAA